TCTTTTAAACTCATCTTGTACTTCTGGTGGCTCTTGGTTCACATATTGCTGAAGCCTACCTTGTAGGACTTCGAGCATGACCTTGAAATGATTGAAAGGAGATACAAAACTCCATTTTCCCGTTTCATTTTATGTCTACTAAGTTTGGGTCAGTCAGATTGCTGATGGTTCAACCAAACAGAACCCACGGCACATCCCTGTATTCTAATCTTTCAAACTATTTCAAAGCTGCCCAAATGGTTCCATCAAAAGTTGGGTGTTTTGCTACCAAATGTCAGAAATATGATTATATTTACTTTGTTCCTGTGGACTCTCTGCTTTCAGTGGCTGAAGGATAACTAAGCAAATAATATCACAAAGGAAGTGAGCCTCGTGACTTGTAATTCAGGCATTTTCAGCAAGCCAAAACACTTCTAGTTTTGTGCCCCTGGCTTTGGGATTAGTATTAAGCAAGAGATATTCTTTAAGCCTCTATTTTTAAGACTGTTCTTCCCCAAATACATCTTTCATGGTCAGTTGTTCTCAAAGGCTCTTCAAACCTGAACCAATAGTGGTTGCAACGAACTGCTCCCCTTGACTTGTTGGAGCAGATTTTCTGTAAAACAACATTGGTGAAGGCATTATTTTTCCACCCTTAAGAAAAGGGCTCGCATGATCAGTTTTGTGTGATTCTTGTAGTTTCAGGAAATGGTGAGGTAGAATTTGAGAATATTCTGGCAATGTTGTGCAGTATCTGCCCACTCCATTAAGCAAACAAATCAAATCAAAATCCCCTTTGGTATGAATGAGAAAGTATTACATTACGTATATAAAGCACATCAAGTTAAGATCTGGCAATTTTTATGGCATGTTAGGTTTCATTAATGTGTCAGCGTTCCAAGTATCATGTAGAATTAAATCAGAGTCCAAGGCAAAACGATCTTTAAAGTTCCAATTTAATAAAGCNCCCCCAACAACAATCCGGGTCCTCATTTCACCCACCTCGGAAGGATGGAAGGCTGAGTCAACCTTGAGCCGGTGAGATTTGAACCGCTGAACTGCAGGTAACAGTCAGCTGAAGTGGCCTGCAGTGCTGCACCCTAACCACTGCGCCACCTCGGCTCATGAAGAAATGAAGAATTATGAAGAAATATATTGTGATATGCAGCAGATTCCCCACCCCCCCGTGACTTAAAGCTTTTGATATATCACAGAACAACCAGCCTGATTTAAAAACAATGAGTGGTAAGAGTTTTGCCCCCCAAATATTGGATGAAATATGAATATAGACCCTGTTTCTTCTGCAAATGGATTTATCCTGAGTAAGCTCTCAAGAACTCTCTAGACCACGAGGTATAAAGATAATATTTAGAGGATTAGAAGTGGCCCCTTCTTCTTTCCCTTAAATCTATGTCTAGCAGAAATTAGGAAGAACTAATTTACCATCCAGACCCTGCATTGATGTCCTGATTCTTGGCAAAGCAAAATCTTTCTGGGAAACAAAACTTCCTGGTATATTTACCTTTTCTAGATCTCTTTTAGATCATGCCAGTTTTAATCCAAGATCAGCTTGAAATGAGCTCTAACAATGTACCAGTAAATCCAATCTGCATTCATTCATAGCTAGGCTTATCAAATAATCTTTCTTGTGAAATCAAAAGCCAAAATGTACAATCTTTGCTTCATTTGAGTGCCCTTAGAAAATTACGCTTATAAGTAGAAGGAAACAGAATAGTTGCAAGGGGAAATAATGCAGCAGCAATCTTATTTTATCGCTCTTGTCTTCCGTAGCGAGATATTTTTAAAAGCCTCAAAAATACAATTATTCTATCAGGCGAAGCATGTTCCTTAAAATAATACATTTTTTACCTTGGAATTCTTGGCATAGTAGAGCGTCCGTCCTCGGAGTTTAAAGTAGCGTCTTTTCCATCTCTGAAAAGAACTGGTTTGCTTCAAGAGGAGACCTTCCCTGATGCTGGTCTTAAAAAGAAAAAGAGAAGAATATATTAAAATTCCACACATGCCAAAATGGTAATATTACACCATGTAATTATTTTCTGCTCTCTTCGGTTCTCTGCAGATGATATGCTGAAGCGATGGCTTAATAATACATTTAATTATAGCTGTTATAGCAATCTGGCAATTGGGAACTATTTTTAATTCAGCTTTGCTTCTTCTGCTGTTTTATTAGCCTTACGTGGGTTTCGGGTTGCTAGAAGGGGATTGAGGGAGGATGTGCGTTTATATTGCCTATCAAATCCCAAACGCAAAGGTTGATTTTTTTTTTAATAAAAAGAAAATAAAAGTTGCATATCCTGGGGAAAAAAAATTATTTAAAGGAAACACAAAGGCAGAATGGGGGGAGGAAGAGGGGGAAGAGGAGGAGGAGGAGAGGAAGAAGGGAAGGAAGGGAAGGAGGAGGAGGTAAAAGGAGAGAAAGAGGAGGAGAGGAAGAGGAGGTAAAAAGAGAGGAAGAGGAGATAAAAGGAGAGGAAGAGGAGGAGAGGAAGAGGAAGTAAAAGAGGAAGAGGAGGAGAGGAAGAGGAGGAGAAGAGGAGGTAAAAGGAGATGAGGAGGATGTAAAAGGAGAGGAAGAGGAGGAGAGGAAGAGGAGGAAGGGAAGGAAGGAGAGGAGGAAAATGAGAAGAAAGAAGAAGAGAAGAGAGAAGGAGGGAAATTGCTGTTGTACAAGATGTTTTTTTCAACACTGAGCATCATCGATTTGTCAAAGAATAGAAGTGCAGCCAATTCCCACAAGATGGCAGTACTGATTAATAAACAAAGTTGAAGTTACTTACAAGTTACACCCACTTCCCATTTTGGTTTGTTTTCCCCATGTAAACACACATGTAACCAACTCTATGTTGCCACTAAAGAAAATGCAGCCCTATGTTATTTTTCACATGGAATTGTGTAACGTTATCCATTTACGCATCCCCAGAGTTGCAAACTCCGTAAAGTATTCCTCTAATTGTTCTTTTGGAACGAAAATAAATAAGGAAGGAGGAACTATTTTATAAAACTCTCTGCGAAAGAATCTTTCCCTGGAAATACGGGACAAATTTCGGGTGAGAACTTTGACTAATAAAAAACAGAGGGTTCCCCCCCCCCTGCCAACGTTAAAACTTTTCTCAGAAGGAGCAAGTTTCAAATGTTCACTTTCAGCCTTTCCCCAAAAAAATTGAAGTTCCAGAAAAATATCCAAATATGGATATTTGTAGGAGTGTTTTCTTTCCAGTAATGTAATATATACACATCCAGTCTAAACTATTTATTTTTTAAGCTGATTCTTTTCCCCAGAATTTAAATTAAGCACTTCAAACGAAGCTTAATCCCTAAAACAAAACATCAGATTGCTAATTTTGAAAAGCAAGACTGGATTTTTGGGGGTTAATTAGCTGTTTGTTTCTCTTCAGCCTTAGCCCTTCCTTGGCATCGGGACAAGAAGACGCAAAATGTTTTGCTTCTCTTAAGAGTTTTGAGCTGCTGCCTTTTCATTAAGTAATAAATAATCACTGCTACGGTATTCTCCTTCTGTGTTTCTCCTACATATTCATCTTCCCTGACGTTGTCAAATTATGGACTGAAATTCAGAGTGATGCTAGGCATGGAGGAATAAAAATAAGCTTAAATATGATCCCAGGCATCGAATTTCAATCGTCCTGGCACCCAACAATGGAATATTATTCAAGGCACAATGTAGTAATAAAGGAGAATATTTGTAGCTAGGGGTTGCAATGAAGGGCCCTTGGTGCTCTCTGAGCTTCCTTGTTTTCTTGCAGACATTTTATCGCCTGACTAGGTAACATCATCAGTACTAGGAGGGGAAAGGGTTTGTGGAATGGAGGAGGAGAGGAGGAGAAGGAGGAGGAGAACTGTGGGGTCCTTGGTGCTCTCTGAGCTTGGTTATTTTCTTGCAGACATTTCATTTCCCAACTAGGTAACATCATCAGTGCTAGAAGGAGGGAGGAGGAGGAGGAGGAGAAGGAGGANAACCAACTTGATTCAGACAAACATGACCCCACATGGCCCCATGGGAGTCTGACTACAGCCAATAGAATACATTTCTTGCACAGGAACAGGAAGCTCAAGGGCAAGGCCCAAGAGAGGGTATAAATAACCCTCACTCTCCACTCCATGTGGCCAGCTGCACCAGGACCATGTGCTTGATGGTTCTGCTTCATTACACCATCTTTCCCAGCAGCCTCCATGTATCCAGTGTCTTTCTCCTCACTTGGAACTGAACCAGATCGACATTTCTTCCAACACTAGGGTGAAGGAAGTGAAGCTGAGATTGCTGACTGCAGGGCAAGAAAAACAGCTGCAACCCAGCAGAAACACTTCTACCCCACAATTCCTCATGATTCAGCACAGCTCATACTTTTCTCCCAGAAACGTAAGAGGAGATTCATTCATTCATTCATGGCACAGTGGTTAGAGTGTAGTATTGGACGCTACTTCTGCTTATCACCAGCTGCCAGCAGTTTGGCAGAAATAATCTCACCAGGCTGAAGGTTGACTCATCCTTCCATCCTTCCGAGATGGATAAAATGTGGACCCAGATTGTTGGGGGAAATTATGCTGACTCTGTAAACCACTTAGAGAGGACTGTAAAGCACTATGAAGCAGTGTATAAGTCTAAGTGCCATTGCTATTGCTATTCATTCATTCATTCATTCATTCATTCATTCATTCATTCTCTTGGTTGCTTGCTTTTTCCCTTCCTTCCTTCCTTCCTTCCTTCCTTCCTTCCTTCCTTCCTTCCTTCCTTCCTTCTTTCCATTGACAGTTTACACAAAAGCATCCATGCCAGAGTTCCAGGTCTCTGGCAAATTTAACCACTCCCTGGAATTGTCATTTTTTCAGAGCCTGGGGAAAAAAGATCGCTCCCCATATTTTATTTGGTGTGTGTGTGTGTGTGTCAGGGAAATCAGTAGGAAATCTCAAGTCTGTAGGATGAACCGTGGCTCAATACAAGTATTTAGAAGCGGGAATCCTCAGCTTGCCCTCCAGTTGCTTACTCGTTTCAAGGTAGCAGCCACTGTTTCCAAAAAGTTCTCAGGTGTTTTCTTGTGCTTTTCCCAAAAGCTCATCTACAGAAAGGAAGGGGGGAAGAGAGGTTCATAGTCATCCTCAAAATCCACCCAGGAGGTCTTTCCATTTCAAACATATATTTAGCTAAGATTCTCAATTAATGCATCCAAAACTATTACAAACCATAGGAGGTTTATTTATGTAATGCAGAGGGGAACAATGTCTTGACACACATACCCCACTACCCGAGACCCCAGGAGCCTGCTCAAATTTGGCAAATTTGGTTTGCCCAAGTCTGGACCATCTTGAGACAAAACAATATTCAAACTGTAGCTTAGGCTTAGCCATTTTTAAAACAAAAATCAACTCACCCAGTACCCACGGCTCTGTTGCGCTTCCTTAATGTTGTCCCTCATACTTTGAAACACCTAAGGACTCAAAAAAAAATTACTATTATTAATATTATCATTTGCCTCCCCATCCATAAATAAGTTTCCAATAGAAATGGTTATCTAACCTGATTATAATTTCCGGTTGTGTATCTTATAGATAAATCTACATGAGGATCCACAATTGGTTGCATACCTTTCAGCACTGTCACACCAGGGTCACCCTTTAGGGGAAAGAAAGGAAATACGGGGCTTAAATTATGGAACACTTTTTAATGCTTGGATATTTTGTGATCTAGAATCATTGGAAGAGAGAAGGTTTGGTCCAGTGGTGAAGGCATCAGGCTGGAAACTGGGAAACCATGAGTTCCAGTCACCTCTTAGACACAAAGCCAGCTGGGTGGCCTTAGGCCAGTCACTTTCCCTCAGCCCTAATCAGGAGGCAATGGTAACCCCCTCCCCAGTGTGTGTGTGTGTGTGTGTGTGTGTGTGTGTGTGTGAGAGAGAGAGAGAGAGAGAGAGAGAGAGAGAGAGAGAGAGAGAGAG